ATGCAGTCTGACTTCCCAAATAAACTACATGGGAACTTACAGCAAATGAACAAATGAACTATTTATTTTGGGATTCTTTTAATGGACTTGGAACTGTTGTTTTGACCAATATACTCATTTAATATATTCTCATTTGAGCTTGATCTTTGCCAAATGTCACTTTTGGGTGGATATGGCACAGCATCTACAGCAGGAACGAAACCTGTGGAAATTGTTGGAACTTGCGCTGAAGCTGGCTTAGACCAACTTATTGAAGAGATAAAGGAGTCTGATTCCATCATTACCCTGGGTGAGAGTTCAGATATTTGCTGTTCAAATTACTCAACAGCAGGATTTCCAAGCTACCTCACGTCTTGAGTAACACTGAATATTTCACTGTTCACTTCATATTAATCACGTCAAAGTCTTGTTCCTGCTTCCTTTGCATCTATCCAATTCACACTTGTAATCCAAATATTAAAATTCTTAAATACCTATTCTCTCCTTATATGTCATCTGTATCTCATCTGATGTTAGCAGTCATTCCTTTCTTGGTTTTGCCCATAAATACAGACCTTTACAATTATTAGTCAGCTTCAGAGCATACATCTTGTTAGTACTACAGTGCTCACTCTTCTGTAATGATGCAGCATAAGGCAAAAGGGTTCATCAAGGCCCTGAGACTAATTTAATCAAGTTTACACAATTTGTCATATAGTGAGATTTTGAGGTTTTGCAGTTGATGTGTATTCCACCTCTCATGTAAGTCAGTCCTGTTCTTTATGAACAGATCTTAATGAATAATGACTCACTTGATGTCTCTGAACTCTTCTGGGAGTTTTCCTCATCTGGGAATAGGGGAAATACAAAGAACTGGACACAAACCTAAATGGTTTTTGTTTTTTTACCCTTTGAATAGTAGTGTTTTTTTAGCAAAGAAATGTGAGATGAAGTCACTGACGTTACTTTACTGGGCCTCCCTCATTGTGTTAATTCTCATTAAAAAACCCTCCCAAACTTTTTTTCCTAAAAATGGGTAACTCAGTACTGCCAAGATTTAGGCAGGGTAATCAGCTACTCAGTCTGAGATTTCTCTAAGAATGGCAAGCTTTGGCCAACATCCATTTTCAATTGCAACAATAACAGAAAAGCTCATGTCATGGTGTTTCAGGACAGTTTAATTTCTGTAGCATAAATATACATGGAAAATATTAATGGAAATCAGGAAACATTGTGTTTTCATGCATCCCATCTACAGCACAGTATAAGCTGCTAAGTTGAAATGTACCAGCTAATCATTCTTCTTTCATTATAAAAAATTGCAAATGCCTACGAAGGCATGTGAACAAAAGACAATGGTTCCAAATATGTAGCAGAAAATCCTTAAATATAATAGTTTTTGTACCCTGAATTGCCTGAAGCAATTGAGCAGCTGCTATGTAGCCAGCTGAAATGTTCTGCAGCTCTGCTGCAGCCCGAGGGGAAGCCTGGGTCTTCTGTGCCCCAAGTCCCAGGCGTTGGAGGTGCTGTACATCCCTGCAGCTGGAATGAAGCTGACTTCTCCAGCTGACCCAAGAATACAGTTGGCTTCTTTCAGAGGCAGCTGCATGCAGCCCGTAGCCAAAGGAATGGGTCATCACGATGAGGGGCCTCTGAGAGGAGAGGGATATGGAAAGAAAGGAAGAGAATTGCCAAAGTGCCTCCCCCAGCAAAGCAGGCTGCTGTAGAAAGTAATGTTAAGTGCAGTTCATTTGGGATGGTCACATTAAAAAAAATCCAGCAGAAAACACTCAAAGTCTTAGAAATTTTGATAAAAATAGAAATGTTTAGAAATGTTGATATACTCTTCCCCTGAAGATTAAAGAAATTATTTTTAAAAGGGTCAGGGGCTTTACTTGTAATAAAATTGTGAATTCCAAGTTGAATGCTGCATTGTTAAAAATACGCACATAAAATTTTCAATGTTTAGGGTGTTAATGATTTGTGGTTTTAATTTTCACTCACTTAATGGTCTCTTTTGGATTTTTTTTTTTTTTGGTATAAGTCCTAAGTTTGTAAGGATGGCAAATATTTCCTAATATATTCAATACTGCATAAGCAAGGAAGGCTGTAAGAGCTGTGATAGTGTCTCTGGAGAGGCACATGAGCTGCAGCATTAGGAGGAAAGGCAAAGATGGCTCTATAGTACCTCTGCCTTTCACTTCCTTCTGAGGCTCTCAACTCTTAAACTAGAGACTATGTAGGCCACTGACAGATGGGGATGTGGTCATTTCAATGACACCTTTTCAGATTTTTGTATCACCTGGCACACACTGTATTTCCCTCACAAAATTCTTCACTGTTTTATCTGGTTTAGAGCTGCTTTGCATCTCACTGGACCCAGCTTTAATAGATGGGAGTCAATCTAGATGACTTTGTCATAAGCAACTATGCAGGAGATAGATCATAAAGGAAGATTTACAAGCTAAGTTTAGTACCATGGGATCTTGAATTTACTGCTTCTAGAAGACTCAATGTCAAATGTTTTCAGCTGGCAATCTTAAAATGTTTGACTCACTTTTTATCCTATAAACTCAGATTGAAAAGACAAGATTATGTATCTGTGTTTCATAAACATCTGAAATAGGTGTATCTTCATTGCTGTCAATGAGGATAATCTGCTTGCATTGGTACTGTAAGTTTGTTGACATTACATTTGCATGGACTTTAGAACTTGAAACAGCAGGGAAATCAGACATTTTTGTTTAGATTGCTTTTATTCCCTTCTATGCTCAAAGTAGAGCTATGGTTGCCTTAGATCATGTTGCTCTCCATGTAACAGTACACTAAATTCTTTTGGCTCATGCCCCTCAGTCACTTGGAGGACTCTTGCAGAAGACAGAGAAATGGTACAGCCAAACATTCTTCTCTCATTCTTCTCAGGTTGCCATGCTCCTGGGAAGCACAGCCAGCCCTGTAGTTAGAAAGGTCAAGAGAAATGGAAGCTCTAACATGGTGCTGATTTTAATAGACTCTATTTTAATAGACTCTAGGAGACTAAACAAATGTACACACAGTTAAGCTTGACTTTACTGAGCTAACTGAACAACTTTGGGAAAAAACCTAAACGTGGTAAGCACATGGGTAAGTATGTTGGGCCAAGGGAGTAGTGCTGCCTCTGCAGATATTTCACAGGCCTATTAAGAGGTCCTTGAAGGATTCAATAAGCATGAGGAGGACAAGGGAAATCTATTTGATACTGCTGGTGCTAAAGCTCTAAACGAAACCCTGTATTTTTATCAGTAGGTTACTCTTAGAAATATACCTTTCATGAGCAGCATGGCTAGAGGTTTTAGGAATTATAAGGAATTTTTAGAGCTGTGTTCTACTGCCTTAAGTGGTGGAATCTTTTGAATAACTAAAATGTTAATTCCTGATGCTCCAATGCATTCGGTGTAAATTCCACCTTCTTGCATGCAGAGCCATGGAACTGAGGAGCTGATCAGAACAGATATTGGAGGTTTGGCCTGTGAGTGAGCAGTGTTGAAATACTCTATGTGGTATAACATAATGCACGTCATCCTCAGATCCCACACATGGGCTCTGTTTAGTGACCTCACCACAGCCTTGCGTAACACTGCCTCTTAGGTCCTAGGAGTATTTATTTTTATGATATCTTGCATAGAGAATGCATGAAATTTTTTCAATAGTTTTCATTAGCACATGGAACTGCCAAGATTGGATTCTAGGTTTGAACACCAACAGATGGATTTAATTTTTTCATTCAGATGAAACAACAAACTGTCATCATTTATTGTATGCTTGATTAATGTGCTTTGGTGTTGTCTTGATAACTTGAAGCAGTGGCTTTTCCTTTTATAATAACACATTTTGTAATATATTTCCTTTTTGTCTGAGATACAGACTTGGCTCTGGTCACTGGTGCAAATGACACAGTAAACTCAGCAGCACAGGAAGATCCCAATTCTGTTATCAGTAGCATGCCAATACTGGAACTTTGGAAAACAAAACAAGGTACTGAAAGACAGTGACAGAATTTAGTACACAGTAAGTTATGATCTATTCATTTCTTACAAGAAAAGTGCCAACATATGAAAATATAAACTAGAAATGTATTTTCTAAATCATTGCCTCAAAGATGAATATACAAAGGCACATGTTTAGCTGAAAATCACCGCTGTCTATATAGAAAGGCAGAACTTTGCAGAGGCCTAGAAAACCAAACCCTGGCCATTGCCATCAGACCATCCATATGTTGGAACAGCTCAAGTATTGCATGTTACCTTGATTGTTTGAATCTACTGTGTTAGTTTTCATGGGCTTTATTCTTTTTTCAATGAATTCTTTTAAAATGAGCAAAATCAGCTCAGCCATGCCCCCGTTAGAGAGCATTCTGCATTCAAGAGTTTGACACTATAATTTTGCTGGTTTTGCCAATTCCCTGGCAGCTGCCTCAGGCATTGGTTTTAAAACAGTTTTCTGGAAAAAGTAAGCCATATTCAGAGAACAGAGGAAGATTTTGGTGATGTAAAGCTTTCTATGTTATATTTTTTTGCCAACACAGTCACAATAGAATAGAATGCAAGCACTTTTGTATTCTTAACCAACACAGGTATGCAGAGTAAAGCCAATACTGTCACCACACAGACATATGTGAGGTTAAGAGGAAGTAACGTGATCCAACTGCCTCAAGTAGACTGAGGTGTGTTATGTGATGCTTCTGACAATGGAAGCTGTATCAAGTTGCTTCCTTGTCTGCTGTAAACATGAAAAAAGAAAAAGACTATAGCATTAATTCTGCTCAAAGGAAACCTGCAAACAGAAAAACTATACTGCAGTTTCAGCAGTACTATCACTAGAAAATGAAGTTTCAGGTCAGCAGAAATTCATGCTGCATTTGGCAAACTATTTAGTCATGAAACTAAAACCTCAAAAATAATTTTTGAAAGAAATAAAACATTATGATGTTCTTGAAATACAGAATTTTTATTTAACATTAGGAAATTAAATGAAGGCTGAGTTTCAGCTTGAACAAGCTTCTTTTGTTGGAACCCAAAGTATTGTTCTTCTGTAGAAAAGATAAAAGGATCCTTTTTTAAATCTAAAGGAGTTTGATTCTCTTCAGTTCATTGGTATCCATCTCCAAAGCGAATAATTTCAGGAATTGTACTAAAGCCCTTAGATTTCATGCCAGTTATATTGGCTTATGGGCCCAATTTCATAGATGGACACTTTATTCAGAGGCAGAAATTACTTTTACAAGTAAGGGAAGCTCAGTGCCCAGGATGAGAGAAGGAGCAGGATTCAGTCTGGGGTATGTTGGTGGAGCACATTCTCTTCTGTTCACTCTTCTGTGGTATGTTTCTAAACATCCTATTGCAACACCAGTGGTCTGAGAAGTCAGCAGTAAAATCATGTGGCAACCGCACCAGTATTGCTAAAGTTAGACAAAAATTTCCACTTTCCATGAGGTGAAAATACAGTCTGCTGTCTGTTTTGCATTAGAGAACTAGTTCCCACCTCTTACTCTGGAACTTTAGAATTATTTGAATTTATTTCTGGCAGACAGGGGTGAAGAAATCACACCACTCCTGAGTAGTTTTATGTGATAAACTACTTTTTAAATTCCACAGCATCTCATTTCTTTTCTGAATCTGTAAAATGGCAGCTACATGTTATCTTTCCCAACAAGCAAACAGGAAGAATCTGGTAAATTTTTCATATAAACACTTCCTTTAAATGTTGGTATTACTAAGTTTGATCAGTCACAATTAACATTCTTAATGACAGCATTACAATTTTACTAAAATGGTGTCCTTCAAGACAAGGAAAAACAGTTTAGGAACTGTGTTGAGTCCTTCAGTACCTTAGTAGGTGGCTTCATAATCTGGTATCAGTGGATCACGAGTTTAACTGCCACATATTTTGATCTGTGTGAGAAAGCTTTCCTGCTGGCAATGTGCTGCAATCACCATTAACTTTTGTATCCCAGAATACTCTGAGACACAAGTTAATGGCACCTGGGAGTGTATTAACTGCATTATAGTAACTTATGGGAAATTAATAGGAAGTTTCCCTCCCTCCCTTCTTCTTTTGGCACTGTTGAAGGTAGGGGTAGGTAGGATGGATTTTCAAATCACATTACATTTGGTACAAGTATGCTATAACTATCATTTATGTAGACAGATATTTAGAGCATTCAGGCAAGTACTGAAACACAGTTCAAGGGCAAGGTAAGAACAGAACCTTGTATTACTCTGCAGTTGGGCCTGAAGAACACTGTGTGGAAAACCAGATGGACTCAAAAATTGCAAGAAGCAGTAGCAAAGGATTTAAATCAGGTAAGATTACAAGTGCTTTGGGAGGTTTTGCTGTAGCTTCCAAGTTGGCATCTCTTTTCAATCTCAATGTATCTTTACCCCATGCACTGTCATGACCCTTTATTCAACCTCGGCTTGGATGACATTTCTGCTACCTTCCAGGAAAGGAATTGTTTTTTGCAGCAGCTCCCTCTCTTATTCATTTTGAGAAAAGGATTAAATACTCCCTCTGACCAAGCTTACAGGCATGCTAAAGTGAAGCCACTTCATGCTCCTGGCCAAACAAAGAACAAAAATACCCACAATAAGCAAAAGCAGATGGCTTCAGTGGCAGGAAATGAATGAGCCAGACTGCAGGTAAAATGGTTCTCTGAACACATCGTGGAGGTTTGCACTGACAGGTTCTTTGTTATCTGGGGCCTCCCCACAGGAGGCCAGATGTCTCCTGTTGTGAGAGGAGATAGAGATGCTCTTCCTTTTCCTCCCCCTTTAACTTATGGCTGTTTAAGTTACTGCTAATGGAAGCAGAAGCCTGTTTTTCTCTCTTGGTCTCTGATGTTTTTGGAAACAGAAGAGATAGTGAAGGGGTATTCTGATATGAAAGAAAAGGCCCAGAAATGGCCTTTACCTCCCCATGACCCTCCATTTAAAGAACAGGGAGGTCAGTGCTGCTAATTGCACTTGAAAGGATTAACCACTTGATTGCTTTCATTTAGTGGAACAAATTTTTCTTTAGTCTCAAAGCTGGGGAAATGTATCAGTGATACTAAGATGCTTTCAGTGTGAGATGGATGACTTGGTTTGGCTTCTTATACCAACATCAAAATTAAATAGAGGATGTAAATATTTTTATATATATGAGAGAAAGGGCAACTACATCTGCTGCTCAGACAGGGCAGATTTGCAGCAGAAGTGACAAAAACCTCCTTCCTGCCCCCATAAAAGGTTATCAAAGGAACAGCAACAGACTGTAAAGAATTACAGATATTAGGTGTGCCTCTGTCCCTTGGTGTAACAAATGACTCTTGCATTACACTGAGGTTGCACTGGAAGACAAACAATCTGAACCCAGTTCCTGGACACAGTATGCCAGATCTAAAATGTTTTCTGTACATTAATTTCATCTGAGAATTAAAACTAATTTTCTTTTGGAAAAGGTTCTTAAATCCCATTGTTCAAATAAAGTGAGATACACAAAACTTAAATTTGGAAACAATTTTTCACCTTATGAAACTATTTTCCAAAAGTAACGAAGAACAGCTTATACAAGCTTTTATCTGACCTCTGCTTCTTAAATAAAAAACATGTTTTCAGGGAAATGTGTCTTGGAAGTAACTCCCCATCTCCCCCCAGATTTTTCTCTCTGGTTCTTGTAAAGCATTAGGTCAGTGGGTTAATTTTATTTTTGTTTGTTTAAAGTGGGTGAAAGTTTCCTTCTCAAGCTATAATACTTGTGTGATTTAAAAAAAAACAACAACAATCTTTGTTTAAGAAATACAAGAACAGTTGGAAATGTCAAAAGACTATCAAAATTCATACCAAAGGAAGTAACAGGAATCATTTTAAAACAGCAAAATAACCTCTCAATAGCAATAAGTACCAAATGAATAGGCAGTGTTGTTTCAATAGCACTGAGACACAACTGCTGATTGTTCTCATTGCTTGATATATGAGCTCAATATATAGGTAGATATAAAAATTATATTTCTAGTTTTGACTTCAAGCCTGTGTTTCCTGTGGTGCTGTTATAGTTCATGCACATTTCATAATTTCATAACATAACTAGCATTTTGTTCTGCAGATGGGGATATTTTTGTTGTCCACTGCGACACATTTTTATATGTGCTTGTACAGATAAGCACATCAATATGAGGCATGATGTAATGTCTTACATGTGTATTTACAATGTGTATTTGTATCTTGTGTTTGAAACAGTGTTAGGATTTCACCTTGAAATGCAGGGGTTTTTTCACTATTAAAAACACAAGTTTGTTTTTTTCCAAACCAGCTATTTGAGCCTGTATGGACTGCTGTGTAAGTATAAAAACATTTTCTTGAAGTATTTTCCCAGACATTATTTCTATGTTCACCAGAGTGTGTGTGAGTGCCCTCCTAGAGAGTATGCTACAAATGATAACAAAAACTCTGATGTTTTGTTTAAAAAATAATCTATTGTAATTTTTTAGTCTGTCACTTTGACAAGATATATTTTATCTTAAATAACACATTTCTAAGCATATCCAGAAATATTTATCCATCTTATATTGTAACTTTAATAATTTTTTCCTACTTTAGGAATATAATTATCAATGTATGATCTAAAATATACTCATATAACTCTGCTGTAAAGCTCAGGTCTGTTCCCTCTGCCAGCACTGGCTGTGTTGGTGTAGCCTGGCAAAACTGCATTCACACCTGATGGCTCTGACAGCAGCACTACAACCGTGACAAAACTCCCATCAGCACAAAGCCTTGCTGAGACTCTTCTGATCTGCTCCTTCACTGCAAAAGGAAAAGCAGAGCAGATTCACAGCCTGCCTAGTTTAAGGAAGCCTCGTCAGAAATATTGTGGTCAGAACCAGTATTTGTGGTGCCTACAATATGCCATAGTGACATTTGTTAAGTTAGCGCTCCCTCAAATAATGGTAATATATAACAGTAATAAACACTTAACTAAATTTGTTTGAAGAAGTCTAAAATTACCCAAGAATTTGAGAACAATCCTAATATAAGAGTACATGAATGGTACTATAGAAATCATACATTGTATAACAATGTTTAAAGAGACCATTTTTTTATTACTAGAAGAATTTTCCAGAATTAATAATGAAAATATATAATTCATATTCAATTAATGTGCTCTTTCATTCTCTATTGCTGCCACTCACCCCAGCAACCAAACACCATCTGCTCATTCAGTAACCCTGTAGCAAAATCAGTATTGCTGTGTAAACCACAAAGAAACCATCTGACAGAAGTATCAGTAACAATGGAAAAGCAGGCAGGCTAATTCCTTCTTACAGTTAAGAGATCACTCCTTACAGCAAGAGGGGTCAGGTCCTCACTCCCATGTCAGGAAATGTGCTCATCACAGTGAGCACATCAGGCCTGTAGGTTGAAGTACAGCAATATTTAGGAAAATGTAACTGTTTTCAAGTGAGTAACTCTAATAAGACTGCTCATGTGAGCAGCTCTACCACCTCAAGCATGCAGGAGGAGGGCTGCAGCTCACTTCTGGACATTATTTAGAGGACAGTCTATTTCCAAAAAAAAAACCCTAGTTATGTTTGTGCAGGTTATTATTACAAAAAAAAGTAGTGTCATGCACCGACAGACAGCTTACTTTTTTCCTGCACAACACTTGGCATCTTTAATCAATGTATACATAAATGAAAAGAAAAAAAGCAGATTATCATATTGTCCTTTGTAGCTCTCTTTCAAAATCTCCTGATGATAGTCCACAAGGAAATAATAAATTGCTTCTATTGTGGAAAGGTATGCATCTGGTGTTCCCTTCTGATGACGCCAAAAGCAAGTTTTCCTTGTCTTCAACTCAATTTGCAGTAACCCTGTCAAGGAAAAAAGATGACTTAGATTAGACAATGTGAATTGGTGGCCAGAATGTCAAACAAGACTTTAGCACCAAGACTTTAGTTTTGTTTTCTGATTTTGCTGCTAGCCTGCTCAGTGCCTGCATGAAAATAATTTCTCTTCCTGTACCTACACTTTTGATCTTTAAAACTGAGGCAATAATTTAATCTCCCTTTTTGGATCACTTTGGAATTTGATGAGATGCTGTAATTCCTAGGCTACAATCTTCAAATCTGCAGTTAATTACAAGTTATCCTTTCATTCAAACAGCCACACAGCCCTCAGTAAACTGCAGAGTCGCTTCACATGGCAAGAGTGAAATCCACACCTACCAAGACTCACCAATGTTCAGAAAATTATTTCATCTTTTGCAAAGTTAATACTTTTCAAGTGTAAAACAGAATCCCTTAGACTGTTAGTGTTGCTGAAGTGAGGACTATTTACAAGAGCCAGTTTGTAATTGTAATTGTATTTATGCTTGTAAAGTAACTGAAATGTCACTGAAATGACTCAGGAGTAAGTATGACAGCATCTTGCAATTAACTTTATTAGATACTAAAAGCATTCCCACTTAAGATGAAAGAGGAAATTTGGTGTCTGTATGGCACAAAAAAAAATCTTTTATCTACTTTAGTCTCTGTAACTATTCTATTATTCAGATGCATTTTAAACAGGATGGGCAGTTGGATCATGAAGAACATGGTACACACCTGTCAACAACATTAGAAGCAGATTGTAAAGTTATCTTTTTCTATCACAATCTGATACTCTGTCTCATGGGAGAGTTTAATACAGGTAACAGTACAAAAACCAGTATGGTCTAAGAACTGCTTGGAAGTTATGGACAGGGAAGTTTCAGAAAGGTCAAATTCAGGCTAGAGCCTAGCACTTGTAATTGTACACTTCTAGCCTACAAACTGTGTTTAATTCTTTTCAGTGTAATTGCAGGAGGGATTTAGTTGTTTGCTTTGCAGTGAGTAAAGTATGGTATCCTGCATTGTAGAAGAAATCTCAATTACAGCATTAAAAAAAACCAAACCTGAACAGCAGAGTCTGTCCCTGAATTTCAATGTTATTATTGACATTTCAGAACCAAAACCTCAAAACAGCATACACAGTCTAATTATTACCTCTAATAATCCTACACATGTGAAACTTAAAATAGCAGGAGGAAACTGCATCAAGCTTGTTGCCCTCAAGAGTCTTCACCACCTGAATTCTCAGGCCTAACCAAAATGAAAACTTCCATCAAATCCACAGTGCTTTCACCCTAAAAGCAGTGAAGAAAATCTCAGAGATGATTCCTCCAGCATCAACTCCCACGTAGTTGTGGTTTGAACACAAACAAAAGTTCACTGAAGGCAAGACCATGGACACTACTGAGCTTACCACAAGTGCAGTGTCAGTTACTTTCAAACATAAGACTTTAGGACCCTTCATTAAACAAACCCCAAAACCAGAGGGGGTTAAGGATAAAAGAATTTTTCATCTCTACTGGATCTGTGTACAGCCAAAGGCAATGTTTGCTTACAAATACTCACCATTCACATGAAACCCCACAATGCTAATGAATAAGCTAATAAAATATTTGGCTGATACAAAGCAGTTACAACTTACAGGGAAAAAAACCCAAAGCAATCAGTTTCTTTAACAATCATGGTGATGCTGCCAATAAGCTCCATCACTCATGTGAGAAAGTCATCATTAACATTAAATTCAACTGTTTGTTTTCTGATCTAGAGATCACTTTTAATGAAGTAATCAATCCTAGACATTACCAACTCTCCTGTATTTCTTGTCTTTAACTGATTTAATTTTGTTTTTTAAAGATATATTAACACTTCTCCAAGATATAGAACTAATTTTGTTCAAGTTCTCCCAGCTTATTTTAAGATCAATGTACTCATTTGCTTTCTCTTGCAGCACAATTTACTAGATTTACTGTCTATATGAAATAAGCTTACAAAACACAACGTTTTTCTTTATGTTTTCTTGGCTTCATTAATGTTTTCCTTCAATATTTCTTGTAACTTAATCCTAATAACTATGGCAATTACTTTTTATTTGGAATTATGAACACTCCTTTTTGAGCTTTAACATATGATGGATATTTTGTTGGATGATGACTTCATTTGCAATTGAACTGAAAAATGAAAACAGTTCTCTATTTTTCATGTATGTACAACATAAAAATGTCATCAGTTTATGCCTAAGGAAACTCTGCCCCATTCATCTTGGAAGTGAAAACTGCAATCTCTAAAAGGGGTATTAATGCAATTTATGTTCTTTATGACAGGCACTAAGGAAAGCAATACATGCACAGGCTGTGCACACTGTTACACCCAATGTGTGGATGGGTAAAATTCTCCCATACTATTAAACACTATTAAACCTCACAGCAATCCTGAAAGGTGCTCAGGAACCCAGGGAGCTGCAAAACAGCTGGAAAACAGCTGGCACCGAAATATTCTAGAAAGGAGAGAGTAGTACATCAAATCAGCATTCTCATGGGGAAACTGGAAACCATTCAAGAGCTCCAAAGTAACACCAATTAAGACTTTTTGACTAATATATGCATAGGTTTCCATGGAAATTTTCACTTCCCCTGGCTGCCTGTTATTTTCCTTGAATTTGTCCTGTTAAAGTAAGTTTCAAATGCCTTACATTAACATGCAACGTGCAATTCCCCTAATCTTTACAGTAATACTTCAATGGAGCTGATAGAGTATGTTTTGTGTTAAACTAAATACTTCTAACAGGATTTTAATTGGCCAATACATCATACTAATGGAGGATTCTTTAATAAGCTGACTAGACAAGGCAACATCCATCTTCTATGCAAGAAAGTCTGTGAAATTCCTTGTAGGATCCAGTGTGAAGCAGCAGTAGTGTATATGTGCGTGTATACATATATATGTAATGTGTGTACATGTATATGTGTATATTGCATATCAACTTGACAACCTGCCTCCCAGCTAAGTACAATTTTTGCACTTATGAAAGTATTTTCAAACTCTTATTAATCTCAAAGGAAATGGAATGCTATTGCTAAATTGTTTTGTCTTTTGTGGTTTTAATTAGAATGTTTAAATGTAAACTTTTTGTAAAGAACCTAAGACAAAAACTTTCTGCAGAATTACCAATTTCTGCTCTCAGAGCTGGAAGGGTGTGGAGGGCAAGCAGCCATTCCTTTTTTGTCTGGAGTAGTAAGATCATGGAAATGTCCATTAACAACTGGAGGAGAAAGAGAACCCAAGGCATTACAAACCTGTGCTGAACCTCCTAAATCCCTTATTTACCCTCTTGGGGCCTGTCTGCCACAAACTTGTACACAAATGGTCCCATGGGTCTCTGGAAAGCAGGCAGCCACCTGCAAAAAAATCTTCCTGGCTTCCCTCAGAGGCCTTTCTAACTACTGTTCTACTGTCTAACATGACAGCTTCCATTCTCTGAGACTGAGGAAATTTGCTCCAACAGAGAAGTGAGACAAGTAAATGTAAATGCTTTCTTAGTACTAGTATTATCTCTTTGCAAAATAGATTATATGCCATGAAAAGTAATGGAGTCTTTGGCTCAGGAAGTATTTTACAGCCCTGGAACAGGTTGCTGAATCCTTCATAGACACTCAGAGATAGGGGTACATACAAGCTTACATTGTGCTCAGGTCTGTTACAGACATATGTCCCTTAATCATTTATGCAGCAATAATGTCTCAGTATCAACTTGTATTTTTTTACCTTGAAGTCGTTCATCAGTTATTATCTTGTTAGTTTGATTCCAGGTACTGTCAATAAATATTATTTTCTTCAGTCTCGTGCCTTCACTCCTGCTGCTTGAGATGCATTCATTTGGATTTTTTTCTTCTTCAGGTTCTGTTTTTGCTTGTTTAGGAAGGGGCTCTCTGGAACAGTCATCGTCACTAGAACAGACACTTTTCTTGGTGTACTTTTGGAGATGGAAAGCAATATCTTTAACTGAAACTGAATTTGGGCCAGGAAATATAAGTGCTATCTGAATGAAGAAAACAAAGAGATCTGAGTGTCAATAAAATCTAACAGAACAACAGGAATTGTTATATTAAAGAACAGAAATTTTCTAACCTGTCTGTAAACATTTAAGTCAGGACAAGATTAAATAGTGTCTCTTAAAAATATTCTATTGCCCAACACAGCATTAAATCCACGTTAAAAACATGTTAATGAATTAAGATTCTTAACAGAGATTTTTAATTAATGTTACTTCCATGCCTCTACTACCAACTCTAACACTTCTGTATAGAAAGATTTTTCAGCCAAGACAATGGTGTCAGCCCTAAGGAAGTTCAAATGTCACTTGTCACTGCAGTGTATGGGGCAGGGGGGCCAAAAAGGATAGCTTACCATTTAGATGAACATACATATCTGAGTTCATAACTCACTTCTTTTCTTGTGCTCTATGCTATGATAGACAAGACTTGAATTTTAGTTGTTTTCCTGTGTCATAGTGAATGTTAAAAATTTTAAGGAGGTTGTGGAAAGGTATGTATCTGGTTGCAGCTGCTAAATATAATAAATAAAATGAGCACAACATTCAACTGCTGTTTAACTTGCTCCAAGTTGAATACTTTAAATATAGGCAAAATATTTCTTCAGATACACAGTAAATCCAATTCTCCATTGTGTGAGGAGATGAACATAGAAAATTCAAGGTGGTTAAATAGTGCTGCAGTCTTTCTCAGCTTTGGAGAAAAGGTCACAGCCCATAACTGTGTGTTTGCAGAGCTAATCTTTGAGAGAGCACACGATGGGCTGCACTAATGGAACAGTGGTTTCCTCCCTGCAGGGCACTACCCCTGCAGGAGGAAGCTGCACTCCCCAGCACAGAGCCTGGCCATCTCTAAAGAATCTCTTACTTCGTGTCTCTTCTCTTCATACTCTGGAATGCAGGGGTATTTATAAATTGTAACATCGTCAGGTGCCAGGAGCTTAGCGTGCACAGCCGTGCTTTTGCCGTCTGTTTCGTTTGGGTGTTTAATAATATCAATCTTCAAAGGTAACTAGAGCAAAAGGAAAAAAAATAATAAGTTCATCATCATATTTACAAACACCTATTAGAAACTTACAAGAACTTATCAGAACTTACTTAGAAACTTATTAGAACTTACAAGAACTTATCTATTAGAAACAAACAAGAACTTATTCAAAATTTGGAAGAAATTCCTATGGGTGTGTAATTAAAATGTATGTGATGATTTTTTAATAGGTTTAGAACTAAACTAGAGACAAGTTAGAAGAAGCACCTACTACATTCAATTTATGCAAATAGCTGAGTAAGCAGTGATGCACTTTGGAATGCTGCCAATCTACAGAAATCTACCTTACCATAAGGTAAGCTGGATGTGCTCTTAATTTGAGCAATATAATGGTTCTATCTCTAGTTATTCACACAACTGTGAAAATTACAATTTCAATGAAAATATACCTAAGTTTACTAGGTCAAATTTCAAAATTACTTCTAAAGTATTTTTATGATGCTTTCAAACTCCACTGTCTTCAAAACGCATCTTAGATCCTAAATGATTTTGCAAAATGTCTCAGTCCTCTCTGACAGTTTCCCCAAGTAAGTCAGCAGAAAGGCATTTCACTATTTATATTTTAACAGCGTTATCTGAATTATAGAACCATGACATATAGGAATGTCTTTTAGGTCACATTTTATGTAAAATTCATCCTTGGTTTTGGACAAATTTTTTGTTCCCAATATAACGTTTTCTGGCCAGAGTTATTAGAAACTGAAGAATGTGCAAGAGCACCATAAAGAAACTTTCTACAGCTAAGTGGAAACACAGTTGCATGAGAAGCTGAGTGACTTCAGCCTATATTCTCATCTAGAAGACACATAAATGTTTATGTGAGGATTGGAACATTTTCAGTGTTTGTACATGTAATTCCTCCAGTAAGAACAGTAATTTTATCTAACTGTAGTTTATTCATACTTATAGCTGTGTTCAAAATGAATGTCTGTAAAGAATGAGTCAGAAAAGAAATGGCTGCAGACAGACTATTCTCTGTCCACAGTAACTAAAACCCCAAAAATATTATAAAAAATTATTAAGAAATACTAACCTTCACAGTTGGAATTTCTTTGGTAGGGACAGTTTCGACAGGAACAAAGCATGTATAACAATAAAACATCCTTGAACTATGACATTGGGGGCATTTTGATCTCCCACTCTTTTTTGCCTTTTCCAGTACTTCCTGGGAAGCTAACTGTAATTGTTGAAGTGGATTATCTTGAACAGATGATGGACTCTGCAGTAGGCTTTCCAAACACTCAGTATTTCTTTTTGCTCCTTGAGCATTTCTTTCATTTAAAAGTGTAGATGAATTTAAAGACATGGTTAGCTGAAACAGACAAAATGTTGTTAAATAAAAAGCCAATTACTATGAACTAATCTACTGGAAAATATTCAGCATTATCCCATTTAAGAACAGGTTTCCTACAACAGAAAGAATAATAAAATCATCTGATTCAAGAGATTTGCATGAGATAAACTGAAAAGAACTCGAGATCTGCATCCTTAATGCACAGATGCACATTCACTATCCCACTCATTTAAGCCCTGCAGAAGTCTATTATTTCTCTGTTGTTAAGATTTGTGCCTAGAAGTTTATGAAAACACTGTAAGCAGTGTTTACCTGGATAAGCAATCCCATTTGTCTCCAATATGACTACTGACAAGGAATTATATGCCTACAGGATAGAAATTAGTAAGACAAAAGTTAATTGTGCTAATTTAGATCTTTATCCTAAAATTTATTGTGTGTGGGCCAACCAAATAACCTGAATGAAATCCCTGTTGGATAGAACTTTGTGAAATAGAAGAAATTTTCCAGGAGAAGAGCTTGAGGCTGAAAAGTAACAGCTAGAAAAGGGCTTCGGTGCCCCATGTTCCAGATAGTAAAGTGCTGACCCAGTCTAGACTTCCACAAGTTTGTGGTTTTTTTAGTACTATTGATGGATTTTTGTCAGGCTTTCCTCAGGACAGCTGCTGTCTTACCCTCTACAGCTGGCACAGAATTTTCACCATGTAGCAAGGCAGGAGCAACATGACCATGTGCCCACCCGGGGGCAGACAGAATTAGTGCTGCTGTGCTGTCACAGCCCCCTCTCACTGCCCTCAGCCCCAAAGCAGCCCCAGCCAGGAGCCTGCCCAGCCTGCAGTAGTTATAAACTGCCTTTGGCACTTTGTGCTGCATCACATGCAATGAAAGAAGTTTTTCTCAGGATTTACTTTCAGCTAATTTAGGTTTACTTTTTCATGTCAAGGATCACACTTATGAAATCGTGTAGCGAAGTCATGTTTAACAAAAACAAACAAACAGTAAGTCCTGAAATGTAATCCAAAATGAAGCGTTTAAATAAAATCAAGTGTAATGTAATTGGAAAGAAACAAAACCAAAAAACTAAGCTAAGTTTCCAACACCAAATTAAAATCAATTCCAGAAAAAATTGTTATTTTCTGGTAAAATTAAATACTCATGCATGCTATGATACCTTCCCCTCTGCCTCTGCCAAGGTCTAACTTTTGAAAGGGTCAGAGAAGTCCACTCAAATAAACACAAAATCTAATATGCACACGAATTTTCTAGTGCAATTTGCTTTCAAGTTTCTCTGAGATAAAGCCAGTATAGTTTACATCTCAGAGCAACCTGTGCTATTATCAAGTTTCCTCAAGAAGCAGAGGGCGAGAGGCCCTGGAATTGGACATGCATTCCCAGCCTGCAAACTGACTCTCTTCAGTGGAATGTCTTACACTCTGTGCCGCTCAACGGTGACACCCTGGAGCACTTTTGTTATCGATGCTGACAGGGGATACACTGTGGCCTCAAACTAATAGCTGTGCCCAGGCTGCAGCACTATACATACAGTACAGTACACTTCAGAAAATGACAGACTAGAACTTTGAGATCCAAATCTCATTTCAGACAGGTATTTTTAAGATTTAACAACAACTCCACTTGCACCTCATCTCTAAATCCCTGGTAAATCGCTGCCGGTGGGGGGTACCCTCCACACTCCAGCCGCAATTCTAGGACAACTCAGCAGGTCGGCCGGTGCACCTCGGGGGGCCGCGTACAGCTCAGGGGTGCCACAGCCCCGGCCATGCCGCAGCTCGCTGCTATCAGCCCGGCGGGGTGAGCACAGGCCGGCTCGGAGCGCAGGTTCTGCGGGCGGACAGCGCAGGGCGCTGCCTCTGCCCCAGTAACAGCGCGGTTCTGCCGCTCGGTGCCTGACCGGCCCCGGCCCCGTCCCGCCGCCGCAGCGGCACCGCGGCCCCCGTGGGCGCAAAGCCGCTTCCCACCGCGGGCCGCCCGAGCCCGCCCCGCGCACAGCGCGGCCCCTCGGCGCTCCCGAGCCGCGCTGCCTCCTCTCTCCTGCCGCCACCGCCGCGCCGGGGCGAGAGCTCCTCAGCCGCTCCTCGCCCGGCTCCAGCGCCCCCGCACCGCCCGCTCCTCACCCGCCGCCCGGCGCGGCTCCCGCGCGGCCCTCGCAGGCCCCGGAACGAAAGTGCCGGGCTCGGAATCCGCGGGGAGGCGGGGAACGGAAACAGCCCGGGGCTGAGCGCGGCTCCCGCGGGCCGCCTGTGCGTGAGGGGGCTGCGTTGCTCTGGGCGCCTCACGTCCGCATGGGCTGTTCCGTGCTTTGGGTCACAGATTCTGGGCAGAAACCTCTTCCAGCTCCCTGGGCAGGGGGGGGGGAAACCCCGCCGTTCCCAGCTGGGACCGCGCCAGGTGTTTCCTGCCCTGCGTCCCCTGCCCAGCGCTGCCCTCTCCGTGAGGCGGCACCGCCTGGGAGCCGCTGGGCTGTGAGGCTGCGGCTTTCACTCCATCAGAACTCCAGGAAAGATAGATCAGAATTTATTTTTTTTTACTCTATTTTTCCCGTCACCCAGTAGAATCCTTAGAGCATATTTATTGGCTGGAGGAATTGTGCTGCCACATTCTTCTGCTTGTTTTGAATCTCTGTCTAAAGGGAATATGGGATCTCTTCTGTGGGATTCCTTGGCCTGGTTGAGGATGCTGCTCCATTGTAGCATTTACCCAATATTCAGCCTTTAGGGTGAATTTCGGCTAATCTGCAATCTTCACAGAGCTTCCAGCTTGTAAACAAATTACTGAATACGAGAGAATAGTGGCAGATTTGTCACTTTTTCTTCAGTGTGCACTTTTGAAGTGCATGAATAATAATACTATAATATTGTGGAGGTAGTGAGATGGAGATGGAAGTTCTGTCTTTGTGATCTCGTGCCTTTACGGATCTTTCACGTATTTTGTATGTTTCTTAGCATCTAAGGATATGAAGTAGTATTTTGTGTATTAGAAGAACAAAACCCTATAAATGAGAATTTATAAACTGAGAATTAAGTTTGAGTGTAGGTTGTATTTCCAAGACCCTTGGGCACTGCAAAAGAGGTTTGTAGAAATGGCACACTTTAAGAGAGCAGCCTTTCTGCTGTTAACTTTCTTTTTCTTGCACCTATACCATAGAGGAAAATGCCTTTGTGCTGTACAGCAATTTTCTTTGGTTGGAACCTTGCTTGAGTCAAGATCCTGAATCAAGCTTTGTTTAAAAGATTTGATCAGGCCATGCCGTTACTAACATAAGAGAAATCCTGAACCCTGAGGCAGAAGGTTCTGATGAGGATGAAAAGTTGGTTCTGATTTTACCTTTCTCTCTTTTCTTACACTAGTAGTACTGCTAGGGAAATATTTGACTATAGATGCCTTTCTGGTTTGTTGAAGAATTCGGTACAATGTGGTTACCAGTGAATTGTCAGAATGACATTCTTTTTGGAAGAAGCAGGACATTCCTTTTGACCTGCCTACATTATTTGCAAGTATGAATTCACTCAAATCTTTTAAACCAGAAAGTTTGCTCTTTTGAGCTTTGAACCAGAACTTTTTCCCCATTGGAACAAAGAAACAAAAAATGCTTGAAAAGATACGGAGAATTTCATTATAAATTTTTTTTTTTAAAAAACAGTAGATATCTAGGAGGAGGAACCTGACATGAAAATGGAAACACTTACATTTAGGATAATATCAGAACAAAGTATTGAATTTTTTACATTTTAAAGTTGGTTTTACTTAACCATTTTACCCTTTAATTGCAACATCACAGAATGAGCCTGTGTGTGTTAATAGTTGCAGTGCAGTCAATAACATTTCATTGATTTGCTCTTTTAAAGAAATAATTTGCCTTTCTGCCCTGCTGTTACAATAGAGGGTGTCAATGTCCTTCAGCAATACCTTCACCTTAAAAACACACTGATAACTCTGTTTTAATGCTTGCTGAGTATTTTCAGTGAAGTGATCAATTTGACGATTAAGTTCAAACAACTACCTTTGGTTCCAACAATTTGCTCAAATATTTAAACTGCTAGTTTAAATTCTTTGCTAGATCAAGGATCAGTTTCCTCTGTGCTTCCAGGGCTGTTCTCAACAGATGGAAGGCATTACTGGCCTTTCCGAGAACTTAAATTGCACATGATTTTATTTGTCTCTTTAGAAACATAATGACCCTTTTTTCTTGAGTTATCTCCTTCTCTAACTAAAAAGTTATAGTCTTTTTAATTACTTTGTGTCTGCTGTAATGGGCCTCCCTGGTCTATTTCTGTTTTTCTGGCTCTTTGAGATGATGTAATCCTCTCTGAATGCAGAACATGAGAGAGGAGGAAAGCACAGTCTGCATTGCAGTGTTGCCAGAATTAGATTCTTAGATGTAAAATGCAGTTATACTTGTATTGCAATTCTTTATGCAAAATAAAGTTCACAGATTACTTAATTTAAGAATTACATTTCTATAATTTCCAGAACAAGCTGTTTTTACAATGTACTGGTTGCAGGAGTGGCTGAGTTGTATCTCTGTTGATGAGCTTTACTTTTTGCTGGGTAAGTTACAAAAGGATTATTCCTTTAGTGTTGTATGTAAATATCTGTGTGAACATCAGACCACACTCAGGCTTGGAGAAGACAATAAACACATGGCACTGAGGCACAGAAATGTGCTCAAAAGGTTTTCTCATGCCAGTGTGGCCCTGTGCATCTAGAGGGGCATCTCCCTGCCCTTGAACAGAGCACCCAGCAGGCATTGGCCCAGCTCAGTGTTTACAGCTTTCCCTCAGTCTGTCAGTGTGAAGTGTCAAGTTCAGCATTTGAAAAAACCTAATAAACTAAAGCCCCAGTTCTGCCTGGGTTTTAGGAGCATTTTGTTTAGGCCTAAACAAGATGCAGGCAAAAGTCTAGGCAAGCCTGTTCTCCAGTGTTAATAAAGGCAAGATGAGCCTAAAACAGCAACTTGGCCTGTGCAGTGTGTTAAGTTTGTGTGTTGGCACCTTTAGGTGTAGATCCAGATATATGTAAGGTCGTTGCCTGCTTGGAGCTTTTAATCAATAAAATCATCAATCCAGCCCCTACTTCTTGCTAAACCTGGCTGAATTTTAAAGACATTGTTACTGAGCAAGTTACTACAGAGAGAGCTCTGACTGAGACACGTGAGATGTGGAGAGCAAAGGAGTATTAAATAACTTTAATTCTTTTTATGGATAAGACAAGAAATATCAAATTTTCTTTTTTTTTCCCCCCCTTGGATACAGAAATAGAATTACATCTATCTCTGTATGTTTTTTAGGAGGTAAAAAGCCCAGCTTGAAAAAGTACTTTGGTTTCTTTATATTTCTAAGAGTATCTTATAGTCACCTAAAGTAGCTGTTTTACACCTTTGTTCCTTATCTGAAATATATTCACACTTCGTAGTGTGCATTCTCTTAGCTGAAAATACTGTTTATTTCGTGTGTGAAATAGAATTAATTATGAAATAAGTATTTATATTTTTTTCAGGTTCCCAGATACATTGCTGAGGAGTCAAATGGTAGAAATGTAGAGGTGAGTTTCTTTAGCTTGCATGTAAAAAAGTACACAGCATTCTGTCTGATGAATATGGTTTGACATGGAAATCAAAAAATACCTCTGACAGCAAACTAAGTCATTCAGTTTTTGTAAGATTACATGAATTCAGATATATTGGGTAATGGAAATTCCAAATACTGTGTAAATATGAAGACTGGCCACCATAAAAAGTGTAAATTCTGGGGTTTTTTACTCATCTTCAGTGGGAATTAATACAGCAGGTGTGACTGGATGCCTTACTAATTTTCTGTCAAACAAGAACGTTTTTGTGGTTTAAACTTTAAATGTTTAGACTTTTAGTCTTATGTTTACTGAAAATGGAAAAGAAAAATCAGTAACAGGCTGAGAGACTTGCAGGTATCTGGCAAATGCAAATCAGTCCCTGTGTTTTGACAGCCTGATGTTGAGATACCTAAAGAAGCTGCTTTTGTTTCTCTCGGTAAAAGTTAAACATTCCCCCTGCAAGTTTTTCCCTTCAGTGCTTCTGCAAGCTCAAAGAAGTTCCTATGTGCTTGTGGATCATGTTTCAAATTAAAATCCTTGTACTTTTTACCTTTGTCCAGTTATGATTTGCTTTGTGGTTTTAGGAGTTTTAAATCCCTGCATTCATTGTACTGAATATTTTTTTGTTGTTTTGATAGAAAATTGTTCTCGAAGTCTGTTTCTCTCAAAATAATCTATTGCAGGGCTTCAGGATTCTTTGTGGTCATGGTTTCTCCAGAAGTTTAACATGTAAAGTAATTTTAAGTGTTGTTATGGCTTTTATTATCAAAAAAAAATCTGCATATCCCACAAGTACAAAAATGTGTTTTACTCATGCAGCTCAACTGCATCAGCTGTAGGTCCAAGTTACCTTTTCATGTCACTTTGGGAAGCTGTAGTTGAGCGTATGGAGAATTAGTTTAGTTGGCAGGTTTTTATCATGAAGCTTAAAATAAACTTTTAGATGAAATTGGCTGTTTATTTTACTTTGCTTACTTTGTGTAATGGTGCTAAAATTTATAAAAGGTATGAGTTTGGAATATTTAGGTTAAGAGCATAAATCAAAA